GGAGTTTATTGTCCAGTAATGTGGCCCATCTGAAGCATCATGTAGTAACTTCCACTGGGACAAACACGAGTAGATGCCATTGATGTGGCAGTGCATGGGGCTGGGCAGGGGCCTGGGGTGCTGGGCTGTGTTCAAATGGCAGCAGGGCCTGGTCCCAGCAGGCCAATGGGCTCAGCCCCCAGCAGGATCTCCTTCCCACTGCGTCACCACCCAGGTCTAGGGGTAACAACAGGAGTTTTACACAGGACATCAGTAAACCCTTTGGGGACTCCATCCACATGCCAATGCCTGCTATCCACCCTGCCACGCAGAAGGCCCGGCACCACACAGCCAGCCCTGCTGCCACTGCCGCTGCCTCCAGGAAGCCTAGGACGACACCGTGACTGCGGAAGGCCCGGTCTGCTGCTCGGCCCGCACTCTCTCCATTACACTACCCTGCCTCTTCTCCATGAGAGGCAGCGGGGTGTAGTGGATAGAGCACGGGTTCAAGTCCCGGCTCCACCGCTCACAGCTGTGTGACCCTGGGCCATCACTCAACCTTTCTAAGCCAGAAAGGCCACAGGGAGCAGAGAGGCTTGGAGTCGTGCTCGTGCCAAAACCTACCTCGCAGGGCTGTTGTGAGGAGGACACTTGCCTACTGTGCAGTGCCCTGCGAGCGTGCACTGTCACCGTTACTAACTGCAGGAGGGAAAGAATGGCGTCTGGGCTGGAATCATACTTTTTATTTGGCACTTATACCTGAAAGCAGAGAGTAACCCCCAGAAGTAGCCGTGGTCCCTTCATCACAGCCTCTCTCCACTGAAGGAGACTTTTTAGAAGACCCCTTGCCCTGTCCAGAGAGAGGCCTGGCTCGTTACACCCAACAGATCAAGGAGCCTGGGGTTCCTTTTTAAAAGGGTTCTCACCTCCGCCCCTGCCCAGAGGCCTGTGGTTTTCCTCTGAGAGCTGAGTCCTCTGCCCTTTGGCATGCGTGTTTCCCGGTCTTCGGCACCTCGGCCCTCATACCAGCGTCCCTCTTCAAGGGACTCCTGGGGCTGGGTCAGGCAGAGCAGCAGCTGGAGGCTTCCCCTGGCGGGAGGAGTGGCTGGTGCTCAGAAGGCCTAGTAGAGAAAACAGCTCAGCCCAGTGAGGAGTGGGGGGGGACGCTTGTGAAACCGCACAGGTGATTGATCGGGGGTGTGCGTGGGCCTTCTCTGTTACAAATGTAGCATGCACCCTTCATGGAAAGCACAGAAAAGAAGGTAGCGGGAAAAGAGGTGCAGAAGTTGTACCTCCAAGCCAGGTTCTGCCCAGGGAGGCCAAGAAGAGACACACTCAGACCCTGTCCTCGAGGGGCTCACATCTGGAGGGGAAGCCAGGCTTGGCAACACCCCCAGGGAAGACTGTGGGGGTGGTTCAGAGGAGACAGGTGAAGTCCCCCTGTGAGAGGCAGGGCGCCACCTGTGGGAGAGAGACACTTGCCCTGGGCCTTGAGCAGGGGCTTTGGACAAAAGATGAAGGGAAGACACTCAGGCAGATGAAAACGGTGAGCCAGCACCCAGGGGCTGGACACAGAGGCCGGTGAGCTGTGCACGCTGTAGCGACAGAGTCCACAGGGCAGGAATCAGTAGCCAAGGGCCAGAAGAAGCCTGGGGGTCTGACCGAGGTGGCACTGACGCAGCTGTTTGGACCTCAGGGAGAGTGTCTGTACTGGGAGGATGCTGCCAGAGCAGAGGGAGAGAGGCCAGAGGAGGAGGTTGGTGTCCCCAGCTCCCCTTTCCCTGGCTACGCTGGATCTGGAGGGGACCCTGGGCTTCTTCAAGGCTGGGCAGGGAGTGCTGGGCCTTCCCCCACTAGGTGCAGGTGTCAAGCCTCCAGCTCCCTGCTACAATGGGAGTGATTAGATTAGAAGGTGATTATTTGGGGGAAGGGTGGTCTGATTATCTTGGGTGGAAATTGGCCCCCTGTACCTTTTTCCATCCTGTCTACTCCTGGGCGGTGGGGAGTGGTCTCTCTCTTGCCACCCAGGCCAGAGGATCAATCCTTTCATTTTGTAGCAAACCTTTTTCCTGATGTGTTTGAGACCTTGTCTCCTGGGGCAAAGGAGAAAGACGACAGGCTTGAAGGACAGCAGAGAGTTTAGGTCCTGGCTCTGCACCTCCTCAGCGGGGTGACCCTGGGCAAGCTGCTGCTCCCATCTGAGCCTCAGTTTCCTCTAGTGTGGGGACTAGCTGAGGCCATGGCACACGGAGGGCAGCACACGCCCAGCACATAGCAGGCACCCTCTGGAAGTTAGCTCGGGAGGCAGCCACTGCTTTCTGGACTCTGCAAATGCAGCAAAGTGTGCTTCGTCCTGTCCTTGGAAGAGTCTCCAGAGACCTCTGCCCATGTGACCTCAGTTTCCTCATCTGTCTAATGCTGATCTTCAACAACCCCTCCTCCCAGCCCCCACATACGCCAAGCCGGTGCCCGAGAAAGCATTTTGTCAGCAAGTTATCACAGTGACCAACATTCCATTTACTGGGCCTCATGGCAGGAGCAGGTGGGCTCCAGGAGAAGTTGCCAGGCCTGGAGCCCGTGTCTGAGTTCATTCTGTGTTCCCCACTATTCCCTGGCCAGGGACAAAAGACCACTGTCTTACTGTCCTGGGAACAGCCGAAGAGCTCACCCTCTAAGAATCTGAGTTCTGTTCCAGCTTGCTGGACTTGCTATCCCCTCTGAGAGCCTTTTCTCAGAGGTTTCTATGTCTGTGCGTGGACAGGCTGACATTTACCTGCCTTAAAGGATTCCACTGGACAGTGTCTGTCTGCAAAGCACTTTAAGATCCAGAGATCTTAGAAGCCAAGAGGCCCGAGCAACACCCGCTCACACACAGAAGCACACTACAGCATCAAAGTATCACCCAGATCCTAGAAGGAAAGGGACGGGCAGCGTGGGTGACACCACTGAAAAGTGAAAACAGGTTTCTTGCATAAGGAAAGTACATTGAGTCCTGACTCAGAACCCCTGGATTTCTATTCTGGAAGCAATTCTAATGAGTTTGCTCACCTGGACTTCAAATCTGAAGCAAACTGGAAAACAACAAGAGACTGGTGGAGACAGGTTAACTGAACACAGGCAGAGGTGGCAGCCAGTCTCGAGGGAAAAGAAGGGAAAACTCTAAAAAGCAGAAGTGAGTGCCAGAAGCAAGTCCTGGAGCATCAGGCATCAGGATCATGGCTGCCAGAGCCCAGCGATCCCGTCTAGCAACCTGCCACTGAGCTTCCTGCACGGCAGGGTGGCCTAAGACACTGCACTGGGCACGGATGGGATTCTTCCTTTGAGGAGGAAGTGTGTGCTGCATTGTAGAGCACTTTCTGCCCCGGGTAGTAACAAATAAAATAAAATCAAAGGATGCCTGGAGGGCCAGCGTCACTAATTCAAACTCCTTAGTCAGGAGAGGACTACCAGCAGGGGGGGCTCCCTGCATGTGCCCTGAGCCCTGTGCAGGCAGCACCACACAGGTCAGGGCAGCGGTGGCCAGTGGCTATGCCCACCTGGCTCTGCTGTGCAGCCATCACCACCACCCATCACCGGAACTTTTTCATCTTCCGCAACCGAAACTGCCCATGAAACACTAACTCCCCTTCCCCTCCCCCAGCCCCTGGCACCCACTGTTTTAGTCTCTGTCTCTGCGAATTTGATCACTCTAGGGAGCTTGTGTGAGTGGAAATCATATGGGGCTCATAGTCCCCTTGTGACTGGCTGATTTCACATATTCTAATGTCTTCATGGTCCATACATGTTGCACTATCCATTAAAGCTAGATGATGTCCCATTGAGTGTAGAGACCACATTTTCCCCCTCTGGGCCACAAGCTCCCTGCATGCTCTCGAGCAGACCACTGAAAGGGCAAAGGGGCCAGTCTTCAAGCAACAACAAGAATCTCTTGTCAAACAAGACCTGATGCAGAAACTCCAACGATAAAACAAAAGTAGAGCCCCTCTGACCAAAGGCCTCCTTTGCCCCCCACAGCTGCCTCTCCTACCCCCGAGAAAGAGTTCCAGGGCCCTTTGTAGCCCAGTTCGAGAAATCAAAAATTCTAGGGAAAGGGTTCTTAACCTTTCTTCCAGCATGGACCCCTGAAGAAGTCTGCTTTCATCATGTGTCATCCCTATTCAGAATAAAGTTTTAAAGAGCAAAAAATGAAATATATTGGCTCACAAAGGAAACCAATTATCCTGACATAGTTTGAGTAGTAAAAAAAAAAAAAGTGTGGTAATGTACGTATTTCCTAATTAGCACACTGAATAACAAGATCTGCCCTAGTGGTGAAATAGGGACGCAGGTCAACAATCCTGCAACAGCTGTACAGTGACATGAAAAAGACATCTGTGATTTTCATAATGTGTGTAATGGCATCGTGGGCACCAGAAATACTCCTGGAGTTATTGCCTAAGTTCATAGTAGGGAAAACACTAAATTTTAGTTATAGATTTGTAAAAATAAAGGTGTAATTTTTTTCATCTAAGTTCACAGACCTCTGAATTCCTTCCACAGATCCATGGGAGTAGGGTGGACATTGGGGACCCTGTTTTAAGCAGTTGTATCCAGGGCTTAGTTGACACTTCTTTACTGATTGCAGAATTAGCAGGTTGAGATGTGGTTGTAAATGTCCTCAATAAGGAAGGGAGAGACCTGTCCCTGTGTGGCCTGTGAGGGTGGGAGAGGAAGGTGGAGAATGAGACAGAGGAAAGACGTGACCCTCCAGGGATCAGCAGGTGGTGGGTCTGGAGCTGTTTGATGGCCTGAGAACTGAGGGATAGCAGTGCTTCAACCCAGGCCCCTCCTAGCACAGTCCTGAGATGAAATCATCTTAAAAGGACCCCTACACACATGCAGTGTGAAACTTAATCATAGGCAGTGCCCTAGGACCTCAGCAGGAGAATAGCTAGGAGCTGGCTGAGAGTCATTTCTCCTACTCCTTTGGGGAGGGGGCTTCAGCCATGCACTGGTAACTTGGCTTCTGTCCCCTTCACCAGGGACCCACGTGATGGAGGGCTCAGGACGGATGGTGGTGACTGCCGTGGGTGTGAACTCTCAGACTGGCATCATCTTTACCCTGCTTGGGGCCGGTGGTGAAGAAGAAGAGAAGAAAGACAAAAAAGGTAGGCCCGCCCCCTTGCAGACCAGGAGAGGAGCTCTTAAGGCCACTTTTTTTTTTTTTTTGGTTTACTTGTTCACTCAACAAAATAGTTATTGAGTGCCTTCTATGTCCACACCCTGTGCTGACAGTCACCTCAAGGCCCTGCTAGGGCCAGGTGGGCTCTGTCTGTTCCATCTCCAGGGTCTTGTCCCAGTCTCTGTCTTGTCCAGTCATGTCATGGAGGCCCCTCCTTCCCTTCTGGGCCAGGCCAAGAATGCTGACCACGTTACTGAGTCTCCGGCCTCAGGCCATAGAAACAACCAGCATGAACTAGTCCCATCATCACCCCAGTATTGAGTAGAAATCCTCACCCAGGCATAGTCCTTACACTACTGTCAACTCCGCTGACCAGAGCTGCAAACCCATCCAGCAGGGACTTGTCCAAGATGTGGGCAGAGGAGATTCTGGGAAAGGTGTCCAGATACATGGCTTCAAGTCAACCACCATGTGTCCCCTCTCCAAGGCACCTAGAGCTGCCACCTTGCCTGAGTTCTGATTCTTCCTCCCCTTGAAAGTGGGATTCTGTATTCACTGTTTCCCTTTGGAGTAGCAGGCCGGCAACCCAGGCTAAAGGTGCCTCCCATGACAGAGGGAGGGATCCTCACATGAGAAGTTCAGGTATCATCAGGCCAGGCCCAAATCCAACACAGCCAACTCCTTATCTGACTCCCACACTTGGCCTCAAGAACAGCCCTTTTTCACATTTGCAATCTTTTGTTTCCTCCCCCAAGCTCCAGGGGAGGGTCTTCAACACCCAGAACTTTCAGAATTGGGATGCTGGGAGAAGGGAGATGGGAGTCCAGATGGCCCCCCACCCTGTGTTCCAGGGGCAGCCCTGCCACCTCTAGCTCTCAGAGGCCAGTCAGGCAGAGAGGCTGGGTCAGGATTGAAGATGACTTGTTCCTGAAGGCAAAAACTGATATCTAAATAAGTAGATTGTGGCTGCTCCACCAGCAGGAACGATGGTGCTGGGATGTGGTCTGGGAAATCAAGAGGCTGGAGAGAGCGATAGGGTACTGAGTTTGAAATTGAGGAGAAAGTCCTGGCCAAGAGACCTGGAGTGTCCAAGACAGTGTCCATGCACTGCATTGGAGTCTGTGGCCAGAGTGGATGGACCCTGCCCCAGACAGCTGGCATCTGGGTGGATTTGAGCAGCTGGACAGGAGGTAGCAGCCTGTGCCCATTTCCTTGGACTTGCTGGGGCTTGAGGGCCCCATACTCTTCTACGGGCCAGAACCATATTTTTTCAAATGGCCATAGTAAGACAGGCCTCAGCTGCCATGGAAGCAGCTGGGTTGGCACCCTTTGCTGCCATGCATCTGCACCCTGGCAAGATGGGGTGTCAGAAGACTCAGCCTCGTGTAAACAGCAGAGGGGGATGTGGAGAGGACATGGCAGATGAAGCCTGAGGAAAGCCCCAAGTGTCAGGCCACCATGAGCAGTACAGACAGGGCTAAGCCCCCTCTGCCCTCCACCCTCTCACCTCCTCTAGGGACATTGCTTAGAGCCCACCAACCCCATGTTCCCATTTCACAGTGAGCCCGGGTGTGTGGCTGTGTGTGCACCTGTGTGTGTGCTTGCGTGTGCAGATGAGGCTGCGTGTGCTTCTCCTTCATTAACATGTCTCAAAAATCATCACACAGGTGTGAAGAAAGGGGATGGCCTTCAGCTACCAGGTACAGTAAGACCCCCCTCAGGGTAGGTGGGCTTTTAGAAATAGCAGCCTTTGACCACTAGGCCCTGCCCCCAGGCCACCGGCATGCAGCTGTGGATGGCCACATGCCTGCTACAGGCTCCCCCACAGACACTCCTCTGTACCTCTGTGATGCCAGCCCTGGGGAAGAGCCAACACCCCACTCTGCCCTCTTGCCTCTATGGTGCTTCACCTACTGTCTGATGCCACTCGGCACCATCACATCCCCACAGCACCCCCAGCCCTACATACGGCATACAGCGCCTCCCTCCCCACCACAGTGACCGGCCTTCACTCTCCCGACCCTTCAGAGCCTGTGTTCACCTCACCCAGTGGTGTGTCTTACCCAATAGGGCCTCTTTCTTCTCCCTCCATTAAACCCTGTCTCTCATCCCAGGAAAGAGTGACAGGGGTGAATTTGGCCATTTCCCATCACTTTTAATTTCTAAGTTAAGATAAACTCACTAGTGCCTTTTCTGTCTTGTGTACAAAATATGACATGCTTGATGTCACCTTTTAAATGGCAAGATATCTCATACAGGGGTTCCCAAGGCAGTCTTTGGCTTGCTGGTTAGGGAAGGAGGGCATGGCCGTGGGCAGTGGCCCGAGTCAAAGGCATGAATCTGTTTAAGTCACTGCCATCAACAGATGCTCTGCAGAACACCCTGTACAGCAAGTACCTATTCTAAGTATTTGAAATTGACTCCTGGCCATGGGTCCCTCTGGCCCCAATGGGCAGGCAGATCCCTTCCCCTCATGGAATGCTTGCTCCCTGATAGGGGACCCACCCGGCTGGCCAGGCCCACAGGGTACAAACCTCTCCGCAGATCAGTGCCATCCCTTCCAACTGTCCCGATCATCCTCCATATTTTATTTCAAAGACTCTCCATGTCTGAGTTTTTCCCCCTCAATGTCTGTGGCATCTCTGTGGGAACATTTCACCCCCAAATTTGAGTTTCTTGATTTCCAATGGCGTTTTCGTTTATTTTTTAAGAATAGAGTTGTGTTATTTCCCTACAAGTTGGTTCATGTCGTTATTATTGTTGCTTTTCTCCATCGTGACACGCTGCATTTTCCATCCCTCCCACCCGCCCCCCGCAGCAGCAGACGGTGCGGCAGCTCCAAACGCTGCAGATAGTGCAAATGCAAGCCTGGTCAATGGTACGTCTCGGCGGCGAGTTCTGGGTCTTGTTGGATGGGCATCTCTCTCCCTCAGCCCCAACTCTGGGCTTTCTCTCCCTGTTCTGGACCACACAGATCTCCGATGTGCATGGGCCGCTCGGACAGTCACCCTCTCACACAGGGCCAGAGCTTAAGAGAGGAGCCACGCCGGTGCGTCAGCTCCATACCCACTTGTGGCTACCAAAAAGGCACTGGCTCTTGTGGGCCCTTGACTCCAAGTGGAGCCCAGGGAAAGGTCATGACTTTGGCTTCAGATCCGGCCTCCTGGAAGCAGCAGTAGTCCACCTCGCATGGCCCTCTCCTAAGCTCATCCTGGCCCTGGCTTTGGGAAGAAGGCCTGGGGTCAGGACCTGGACGGAAGCTGGCATCTGGGTCCCCAGAGAAGGCCCCATTCCTGGGCTCTGAAATGCTCTCGAGGCAAGGAGACCCAGGCCAGGCTTCAGCTCCTTGCCCTGCCCCACAGCATGGCTGAGCCACCAGTAGACATTTCTTCTTTTTCACAAAGCAAATGGGCAGGGGTTGGCTTGGGCTCGGGCCTACTTCTGTCCCTCGGATGTGGACTGGTGTTTCTTGCTGTTGCCTGTGCTGGAGCGTTTGTCCTGAATCTCTGTGTTCTGACTGGGCCCCTCAGGGGTGTGGGCTGGGCAGTAGCTGCCACTGGGCACCTGGGTTTGTACCTGAGCCTCTTTACACAGGAGAAGGAACCATTCGATTCACTTGCCTCCAAACCTTTAGCTGACTTTCAGTTTCTGTCCCCTCCCAACTCCAGAGCAACAGATGAGGCACTGTCCCCAAATAGATTACATAATAGTCACCAAGGCTACTTCTGAACTGCTGGGAGCCATTAGGGCTGGTCATGAAAACATTGCCCCCAAGAAGCCAAGGAAAGGGAAAAGTCTCTGCTCCAGCATCACTGCCTTCCAGGTACTGGGCTCCGGGTTTCTCAGCCGAGATATCATCTGCTCCTCACCAGTCCTGCAAAACATGGAGACTTGTTCCTCCATCTTCCTGTCCCCTGTCCCAGACCTCTGGTCGTGCCCCCTGCAAAGTGACCAAAGACAGAAACACCTAGTAGGTGTCTGGGGCTGGATAAAGCATTTCTACTGGCAGGACTTTGCCGAGAAGAGCTAATTTGGGTGTGGATCTATTTCAGGCCCAGGAAGAGGAAGGAGGACAGCTTGGGGAGTGGGAGGTACCACGCATCAGGGAGGGGTAGCTGAGGAGTGACAGGGAGAACCGATGTGGGCAAGCCCGCGGCTGGAGAAGGAACCAGGAGGTGGCCCCCACTCCTCCTAGGCAATGAGCCCACTGGGCTCTGTGAACATGCAGACCCCCTCCAAGGTGCAAATTCCAGATAAAAGGGCAATTTCCCTTCCCCGCTGCAGCAGAAAACCTCAAGTATCGCAGGAAAGATGGGAGCCTTTATTTCTTGACTTCCTACTAGGCACCAGGCACTGTTGCAAGCATATCCTGTTCACCTCTCATTTAATCCTCCTGACAACCCCATGGTGCAGGTTTTACTGACTCCACTTTAAAAATGAGGAGGCTGAGATTCAAGGAGATCAAGACACCAGCCCAGTGTCACAGAGCTGGAACCCAGACCTGGCTGGCTCTGACATGTGTACCATGCTTCTCATGAGGCAGGATTTCTCAGTGGAGTGTGTCCTCGAGTTTCACCAGCATGTTGACAGGTCTTCCTCCCTAGAAAATGATCCTGTGGCCAAAGATGGTTAAGAGTCCCTGGATTAAATAGGTTTCTTCCTACTTACAGGACTTCTCAGGGCCTTGAATGTGTGGGTGCATAGTGGGGAGTTCTATGCAGGGTTTCCCAGGCTGATTTGATTGTAGGCTGAATCCCATGGGATTGGCGTGTCCCACAATACACATTGGGAAATAGTTCTCTAAGCCATTGGTATTTAACACTTGATCAAAGGACCCAAAACCTGAGCATTACCAGGGAGCTTGTTAGAAGTGCAGGCATGGTAGCTCATGCCTGAAATCCTAGCACTCAGAGGCTGAAGCAGGAGGATTGCTTGAGCTTAGGAGTTCAAGACCAACCTGAGCAAGAGTGAGACCCTGTCTCTACTTACACAGAAAAATTAACTGGGCATTGTGGCAGATGCCTATACTCCCAGCTACTCAGGGGTCTGAGGCCAGAGGATCACTTGAGCTCAAGAGTTTGAGGTTGCTGTGAGCTATGATGACACCATGGCACTCAACCCCAGGGCAACAAAGTGAGTCTCTTTCTCAAAAAAAAAAGAACAGAAGTCTAGAACCTTAGGTCCCCATCCCAGACCTACTGAGTGAAAATCTGCATTTAAACAAACTTTCTGGACTCCAAGCAAGGGCTGAGCCTTATTGAGAGGGAATTAAATGTTCTTTCTCCTTCTTCTGAGCCAAATTGCAATGACTTGGATGTGGCACAGGGGAGGTATTCACTGGGGTGGCAAATTCCCCTTGATCCCACTTGCCCAAGCCCCCCAACTGAAAGGTGGGTGTGTTCCATTTATCTTGGAGGCATTATGATTGCCCTTATTATTTGATCATTTTCTTTCATGTTTATGAATACATCACCTATAATCATAGTTATAGTCACGATTAATTGTACATCTCTGTTTGAACTCCTGGTGTTTACACGGCACTCTATGGGTGGCCTTTATTAGCATCACCTTGGTTGACATCAGCCCATTTCACAGAGCAGGAAGTGGAACCACAGGGAAGAGAAGTGGTATTTCCCAGGCCTCCCAGCTAGCAGTCTGTCTCCCGGAAGCTTGTGTTTCAGGTCACCTTATCAGGAACCTTGCACAGCCATGCTCTTCACACTCACGTCCCTCGTGGCGCACCAACAGAATGGTCCCCTTTGGACAAGCCTTATCAGCCATGGGCCGCAGAGAAGGGCCGCCAACATTCCATCCCAGTGCCCCTTCTTGGACCCCATCCCTAGCTGTTTTGAAATATAGCCAATCCTCCAGGCCCCAGGTGGGGCCAGAGCTGGCTGTCTTAACATAGTCGGTGGCCAGGTGAGCCCCAAGTTGGATGAAGAGAGCCCCAAATAAATCCCTTGCTTTTGAGAAACCGGGCCATCTGCTCCAATGCACTCCCAGAACGTGGCTCCCTTCCTCCGGCATACGCATTGGTGATTATGTTTCTGGCCACGTGGTCACTGTGGAAATAAAAGAGGAAATTGCTAGCTTGGCTTAATGAGCACTCACACCCGCTATTGCATCTGATAATATACAATGCAAATAAAGGCCCCTGTGAGCCTTCTAAAACCAACTATTGAAGCAGAGTCCTCTGGTGCCCCTGAGCCCAGTAAGTAAAATTATTTTAGAAAATAAAAATAATTGTTCGTTTCTGTTTGCTCTAAAAAGCTTTTATCTTCTGTGTTTTCTAATCCAGTAGAAAGAATTTCACAATAAAGCCATGAGGGCCTTTCTCTTTAAAGCCCACAGTGGGCCTCTGGCCCCTGGGTGTCGAAAGCTGTGGGAACAGCACTGCACTTAATGCCACTTCTCCCTTCCCAGTCACCCATGGGGTGGGTGCAGTGATGGTGACAAACTCAGTAATCAGGCAGCCACAGGGTCATTCTGGGGTACTCCATAAATGTAGGAACTTCCCTTGGCCTCAGTTTCCTCATCCATAAAGGAAAGCAGTGAAAATCCTCCTCCCCCAGCTTGCAGGATACTTGGAAAACGGACAAGAGATGACATTCAAAAAGCCCCTTTGAAACTGCAGAGGGCTGAACCATGCAAATGGTTATTATTAAGGTAATTCGGGGGCTTTCTGGGAAGTAAATGTCTCCTCCCACCTTGTAGATGTGGAAACTATGGCTGGGAGAGGTAAAACCAGACAGCTAGCTGGTGGCAAAACAAGGGCTTAAGGAATCCAGTCCCAGCAGGGCCACCTAATTCCCACCCCTGGGCTCAGAGGGACTGAGGGGCAGCTGTGGTTTCCCAACTTGGCTTCCAGAGAAAAGAGGGCAGGGCAGAAGCATGCACGCACTTTGGAGCCAGCTCTCCATTTATCCACTGAGACCCGAGCAAGCCATCTCCCTCTCGGAGCCTCAGTTTCTCACCTGTACATAGGCATATGAGAGCACCCTTCGTAGGTGAGTCTCTGGTGAAGATCAGATGGCATTCTGGAGTCCACATATGCCTGGGACACAGTGGGCTCTCAGGGAATGCGAGCTGTGAGAATCACCTTCATGGCAAATCTCCAGGGTTAGCTGACCTTCTGAAACCCCTTGTAAGGCTTGCAGGCAGAGTTCCAGGTGAGCCTGCAGGCCTGGTGGCCAGGAGGGTGCAGGGAAAGGTAGGTGTCTCTGGTGAGAGGCAGTGGCCACTAGGACCCACACTGCAAGCGTGGGCCACAAGCCTCTGGTTGAGGCTAGGGCAGAGCCTCTAGGGAAGCCCTGATTAGGGAGTAGGGAGCTCAAGATTTCAGCCCTTTCCCAGCATTGGGCAGAGTTGGGCCCTCGGAGGTTGCCTGGGGAGCCAGTGACCCTGCTTAGCCTGTATACTGTATATTGTCCAGGGGTTAACAGCTCCCCCCTGGGAAGCAGGGCACTTTCACAAAGCCCTCAGACACCAGAGTCCCTCAGAGACCACCGCTGGGACCCCCTGTGCACTCTGTGTTCTGGTCACTCTCAGGGGTGTTCAGCAGTGGGTCATCTCTGGGGGGCTTCACACTTTTCCAAGGAAGTAGAAAGTAGAATCGTCTCTCTGGAGCCAGAAACTAAGGACTACATTGACCTCCTCCATTCTAGAAACTCCCGCTCCCTCTCTTCCTTCCTCCCTCCCTCTCTTCCTCCCTCTCCTCTTTCCCTCTCTTTTTCCCTCCCTCCCTCCCTCCCTCTCTTCCTCTCTCTCCTCTCTCCCGCTCTTCCTCGCTCCCTCCCTCTCTTCCTTCCTCCCTCCCTCTCTTCCTTCCTCCCTCCCTCTCTCCCTCTCTTCCTCCCTCCCTCCCTCTCTTCCTCCCTCCCTCCCTCTCTTCCTCCTTCCCTCCCTCTCTTCCTCCTTCCCTCCCTCTCTTCCTCCTTCCCTCCCTCTCTCCCTCCTTCTCTCCCTCCCTCTCTTTTTCCCTCTCTCTCTCTCTCCTGTTTCCATGTTTATAAGAAAATGAAAAAGACACAGCTGAACAAGTTTCCCTTTGCTTTCAACCCCTAAAATACACCAACCAAATCAGTCATACGAGGCTTAATTTGGGGACCTGAAAGGCTTGGTTTGGGGACCTCTGCCTTCTGCCAGGAGACTCTGGTCCCTTTTACACTCACATTCTGCCTTTTAATCTCTAAAATGCTCAGGGCCAAAATTATTTCAACAGAAACCCTTTCGCCCAAGCCCCCTGGAGAACCAAGAGCTGCCTGGACTGACAGCTCCCGCAGCAAGGTGGTGGCCAGACTTGCTCTTGTTTCGGGGGGGCCCCCCAGCGTCCCTGTACAGAGGGACAGAGTCAGCACGGCCCTTCCTCTGTTTGTGACATGAATGTCCATGGCCTGTTTTGTCTTCGTGATGACCGACCATGTCTTGTCTGTTCTCTGTTGTCTGTTAAAATTCTTTGTCGTGTAGGTAAAATGCAGGATGGCAATGTGGACAGCAGCCAGAGCAAAGGTAACCCTTTCATATTAACTGGTGTTTGTGGTCCCTGCAGCCCCTCCCCACTGGTTCTGAGAGTCACACCAGAGGCCGAGACTGGCTGGGGCCAGAGGCAGACAATCCACGTCTATGGGTGTCTGATGACTTTGGGGTGTAACTGTGAATTTAATGGTGCCAGGCCAAATACAGGGGTGTCCACCGGTGAGGAGAGGGAACAACCCCAGCCAGTGTCTGCTCAGCCGGCCTTTAAGCGCTGCTACCGGGTCAGCTGAAGACCGAGATTGAGGGTAGGGAGCTTGGCTCGCTCTGTCTGGAAGGGCACAGCCCACAAGTACGTCCTGCACGGAAAAAGCCACACTGACCGAGGACAGGACCTGGCTCCCATGCATGAGGGCGACCTCTTGCACCTTTTAAGCCTCCCTTTTTTTTCCTCCTGTCTGGTGGCTCCTTAATATCTCAACAGCATGGCTCCAAAAGCCAACTGCGTAAAGCCCAGGCCTATCTTTCCTGTCCGAATATGGAAAAAGCCAAAAGGCCATTTGGGGGTAGGATCTTTGGGGCTTGTTTAGGCCCTGAGGCCTGCTCAGGGATTCCAGGGGGGGGATTCCAGGCCCAAAGCAGTGAGTGCCACTGGTGCCCAGAGGGCATCACGAATCCGTGCCAGCCTCACAGGGCGGTCAACACCTCCCCAGGGCATGCAGGGTGGGCGCCACCGGCAGCCCCACCCTGCAGGCTGACCTGTGCCCGTGTGTCTGTGTGTGTGCACCTACCTGCTCTGCCCCCTGCAGCCAAACAGCAGGATGGGGCGGCTGCCATGGAGATGCAGCCCCTCAAGAGTGCCGAGGGCGGAGATGCAGACGACAAGAAGAAGGCCAACATGCACAAGAAGGAGAAATCCGTGCTGCAGGGCAAGCTCACCAAGCTGGCTGTGCAGATCGGCAAGGCAGGTGAGTGTGCAGTGGGGGGAGGGGGTAGCACAGGGTGCACAGTGGGACCGCAGGCAGAGCCCTGCCCCCAGTGGGCCTCAGTCACCTCATCAGCAAAGTAGGGGGCTTAAACGACATGGGTCTCCCAAGGCCTGCCTTTCTCTACCATAGTAACCAGTTTGAGTCCTGTATACAGTAGGCACTTAATAACTAATGAGGCATAAGACAAAGCTCAAAGCCTGCGCTGTGGTGGCAGACTGACTGCTTTCTTGTCCAGCAACAGCTGTGACCACTTGGGAAAGTAACTTCACCTACCCTCCCATTCCCAGGCTGTGTCTATAATTAGAGGCTCTGAGGCGCTGTCTCTTTGTCAGGCGGGGTGACGGTCATCCCTGCCTCACAGGCTGTTACGGGGTTCACAGGAGATTATATGTACAGAGCGCTGAGCATTGAGCATGCACAGTGGCTAGAGAGGGGACAGACCCTGCAGGGCCTGAAGTTCTAGGCAGCACAGTATTTATCCTGGGGACAGCAGGAGCTATGGAAAAGGTTTGAGCAGGGGAGGGCAGGGGCGGACTTGGGCTTTATCATGACCACCCTGGCCACAGCACGGAGGAAAGATTGAAGAGTCTGCGGCAGTGCCAGCAGCCCAGGGAGAAGCCCACTGTCTGAGCCGAGCACACAAGCTGGGCTTCCCAATTGAAGTGGTAGCTGCAGGTGATGGCTGGGCACAGCCCCGCTGGCCCAGGAAGCCAACCCCAGCTGCAAGGTGAGCCCTGACCCTCTGACACAGCCTTGGCTTCTCTTCCTGGGTAACAATGTGGCAAACACCAAGGCCTCCCCACCTGGCTGCTTGATGCTGCTCCCGCTGTCTCCCGGCTCTAATTATAGACACACAGCCTGGGGACGGGAGGCAAATTATAGGCTTGGCTGTCTATATTTAAACTCAGGGGCCCGGGGACAGCTCCCGGCTGATGGGAGCCTGGCTTCCCGCCCCTGCGACTGTCAGACAGGGACAGAGCCAGCTCTGAGGCACCACAGCTGGAGGTGGGGGTGGGGAGTGATGGACCCAGGGATTTCCCCCATCCCTGCCATCCCCACGGTCACAGGCAGAAGGCTCCATGGAAACATAACACTGGTGAGGTAGGGGACTAAGCAATGAGAACAGCCCCATGGCCTCCCAAGTCCTCCCCCGCTTCCCCTAACCTCGGCCCTGCCAAGGAAGGAGTTCCCAGGCAAGCACTCCTGGCTTCACAGCCCACCTCTGCCTCTCTCTGGGCTGAATCCCCTGGAAGCAGAGTTGGGTGGGCGAGGGATTTAGGGAGGGGTGCTCTCAGGTGAGGCGTGCAGGGTGAAGGACATAGGTGAAGGCTAGGGGGAGCTCCCAATCTCTCCTGATCCCATGGGAGCTCTGGATCAGGAGCCACACCACAGGGCCTGTCCCACCTAGCAGCAGGCGACTGGGCTTCGGGACCTCGCATCAACCACTAGATATTGGCTGTCAGATTGGGGCAGTATCATTCCTAGGCACTTCCCAGTAAGGGGGCTCCTCCACGGGCGAAAGCTTCAGGTGTGAGCGGTCTCCACAGCACCTGTGGCAGCACCTGTAGCAGACATGGGGTGGGCGTTCTGAACCAGCAAGGGGAACCCCAAGGGATCTGGACAGGTCCCCAACTATGTCCCTGCAGCTACAGCGCCTCTCTGGCCTGTGGCTGTGGGCAAGTCATTTCCCCTTCCTCTCTCTCTCTCTCTCTCTCTTTTTTTTTTAAGAGACAGAGTCTCACTTTGTCACTCTCAGTAGAGTACAGTGGCATCACAGCTCACAGCAACCTCCAGCTCTTGGGCTTAGGCAATTCTCTTGCCTCAGCCTCCTGAGCAGCTGGGACTACAGGTGCCCACCACAACGCCAGGCTGTACTTTTGTTGCAGTTTGGCCGGGGCTGGGTTCAAACCCTCCGCCTTTGGTATATGGGTGACCCATCGAGCCACAGGCGCCGCCCCATTTCCCCTTTCTGAGTGTCAGGCTCCTCATCCGAAAAAATGGCCACCTGTTGTTTCCTCTACCTGGAACTGCTCTCCCCCAGGTCAGCCACGTGGCTGCTTCTCCCCTCTTTGTTTTCGTGTCTGCTCAAATATCACCTTCTCCAAGAATTCGTCCCTGGTCCCCCTAGTGAAAGTAGCCACTCCCTACCACCCCTTGCCACTTCCTACCCCAGTCACAGCACATGACTTATTAAATCATCTCATTAATGCATCTGTTTACTTGTAGCTCATCTTCCTCCCCCTCTAGAATGTCAGTTCCCCCAGGGCAGAAGCTCTGCCTTCTTTACCGCTGTGTCCCTACTTTCTAGACTGGGACGTCCTATGTGCCTGGCACATTGTAGATGCTCAAAAGGTACTTGAATGAGTGAGTAAAAAAGTGATAACAACTGTACATGATTGCAGTTGGCAAGCTCTGTGCAAACGGCTTTTGTTTTATTCCCTCAGTCACTGGGCACACATTTCCAGAGAGCCTACTACGTGTTGGGCGTTTTGTGGGCATTACCGCATTTGCGCCTTATGAAACCCTGGGGAGGAACTATACATCCCCCATACAGAGCAGGAGACTGAGGTTCCGGGAGGCTCAGGGATTTGCCCTAGGTCACAAAGCAAGGAAATGGCAGGTGAACTGAGCTCTGTGTGACTCCAGAGTCCTTTCAGCTAAGGGTTTAGTCCAGACCTCAACTCCCCACAGCCCCCACCCCTAGGAACCCCCCTGAGCCCGTGTGCCCGTGTTGCAGGCTTGGTGATGTCGGCCATCACGGTGATCATCCTGGTGCTCTACTTCACCGTGGACACCTTCGTGGTCAACAAGAAGCCGTGGCTGCCCGAATGCACGCCCGTCTATGTACAGTACTTTGTCAAGTTCTTCATCATTGGCGTGACGGTGCTGGTGGTGGCCGTGCCCGAGGGGCTCCCTCTGGCTGTCACCATCTCACTGGCCTACTCGGTGAAGGTGAGGAGGAGGAGGGCAGGGCCAGCCAGCTGATGCAGCCCTGCTGGGGAGCTGGATGGAGGGGGGCCGGTGGGGCCAGCACTGGGACTGGGAGATGAGCTTAGAGGAAACCTGTGAGCCAGCCGATAGCTCATAGAGAGGACGTATGCAGGACCCCAGCACTCTGCCACCTCACGGTGGCAAACCAGAGCCAGACTCTGGCTAACTGGGCATCCTTATTCGACCCGGCTAAGTGCCCCTGGGTGGGGATGCAGGCCCAGTGTTGCCAGATCTGCAGATTTTTTAGAAACGCCAGAAATCTGGCCTTAGTGTAAGTTCTCCCAATTTTTAGACATTGGCAGTCAACTCAACTTTTTTAAAAAATGCTTTTAAAAATATAAAAAAGATATCACTATACAGGCCAGAACTCACCCGCACCCACCAGATCTAGGCAGAAGCCTGGAGATGGCAGTGACACGCTCCCTGGGTAGCCAAGAAAATGATCTTAGGGACAGCTCCCCAAGTATGAGAGGGAAGCCGAAAATGAAAAGAACGTCTGATGTTATGGGAGCCCCCTCCCCTCGGGAGATGGGCTGCAAATATAAGAGGTTTTAAAAGCAATTAAATAAAGGATTGCGGCCACCCATGCTTACTGGAAGTGCTTTATCTGCAGGCGTTCCTAAGTGCCACTCTGATGGCACAGCCGCACCTCCACCTGTGCACCAGCTATTTGTGGCACCCAAAAGCTGCCGAGTCTGATCCTCCTTGGGTCACCTCCAGGTTCTCACACCCATGTCTCAATTTCTTCCCTGTGCCCCTTTGAGGTTGTCCTCCTCAATGGGCCAGGCCCTGGACTCCCATGCCCAGGATGCTGGGATATCCACGAGGGCGGAGGTGTGGTCGTGTTTATAAGGCTTTCACTCTAAGAAATTGGCAGAGCCACCAGAGGGCACGGTGAGCGTCAGTTTCCAAGCTGGAATTTGGGTTGGGCTCTCCGATGTAATTTCATACAGAAAAGAGATCTCCGGCGAGTGCCAGAACGTAGCGGCTCTCTGTAAAGGATATGGTTCTTATCGTCTCCTGGTTTTAGGGTTCTCAGAGAAACTCCATCCCACAAACCAAAGCCCAAACAGGTCACAACATGATGCTCTTGGGGGCCTGGGGCCAGGAGAGGGTGACTCTTACATGGTCATGACCGGCTGAGCTTGGGGTATCCTTGAACATTGCATGGAGCTGGTGTGGGGGAATCACGTCCACACAGGGTTAGGCATCTGGGCCTTCTGCAGCTCACATCTGGCTCTTGGTACCTTCGATTGTCTTAGGTGTTGCCTGTGGGGTCCCTGATGAACTTAGCAGGGCACCCAAGCCAGGAGAGGCAGACTGTGCTCACTCTGAGCCTGGATGTGGGAGCAGCCATCAGGGGCATAGAGATGACTGATCACTGCTCAATAGAGAAGAATGTGACCACATGTGTAATTTTACATTTCCCACCAGCCATATTACCACAAAAAAGTGAAAAGACACAAGCAAAGTTAATTTTAGTGATGTAATTTACTTGACCCAATATGTCCAAATTATTATCAATCCAACACATAATCAACATAAAATTATTAATGAGATGATTTTTTTTTCTGCAGTTTTTTCAGTTTTTGGCCAGGGCTGGGTTTGAACCCGCCACCTCCAGTATATGAGGCTGGTGCCCTACTCCTTTGAGCCACAGGCACCATCCTGAGATAATCTCTTTTACCCTTCTTTTTTTATAATGTCTCTACAATCTGAGGTGTACTTTATACTTGCAGCACATTTCACTGCAGACTAGACAGATTTCAAGCGTGCAGTAGCCACACATGATTACCATAGCACACAGTGCACTTAGAGATCCTTGGGCCCCACAGACGAACCGTTTTCAGAGAGTGCAGATGGGCTGAGGCCTGAAGCAATGACCCAGGCTACGAGGTTAAACAGAGCTGGGTTCAAATCCCAGGTCTAAACCCACTGGATGTATGCTCCTGGTCAAGTGGCTTTGCCTAGATTTCATCAATGGCCAAAGTGGATTACCAGAATTCTCTCACGCCTCCAGTCTTACGGATTCTTCTTTTAATCACTTTAGACTAGAAAGCAAATTCAGAAGGGATCTGCAAACTGTAAAGTGTATTGCAAATTCAAGTTGCTGTTGATGGTCCCTTTAATGCACATTTATTGTTGCTATTTTCACAAGTTACAATCTGAGGACCCGCAATAGCATAGACTCCTACCGGTACTTGGTTTTTAGTAACGTAAACCTGTGTTAAGATTATTCTAACTCCCCTCCTTTTTCACCTTCGTAATAAAGAGGTATAATGGGAGCGAGAATAAAGGAAATCAAATTTCTGTTCATAGGCTGGCTCCATCTGACTCAGCCACTTTGTCAGGAAGAATCGTGGCTCCTGGAGAATTATTTTATTTGCATTATTTGCTTGAGAGCCTGGAAAAAGCTGTAGTGTGGAGCTGGGCCAGAGATAAAAAGGAAAGCATACAGAAGAAAATAAATACATTTAAAAGGATTCCATTTTTGTTATAAATTTCAAAAGAAAGTATGTTGATATCTAAGATATATCACTTCTAAGTGGCAGTTTACTGACTTCTTTCTCCTGTTAGTATATCTATATTTAAAAGAAATCTGTGGCTTTGATTATGCAAGTTACAATATGTGTTCATTATAGAAAAAATAAAATATATAGATCTTTTTTTATGAACCTACATCGTGCTTGGAAAAAAAAAATCTATCCGTCTTTAAAAGAAAACAATGAAAATCTGTACTTCTGCTGCCTAGAGGTGACATTAATACTCTGGTGTTTTCACAGATACTTCCTTATATCCTAAATTTATGTATAGCCTACATTTATTTACTTCTGGTGACATTAAAATGCCAGTGAAAACCAGCCACCAGTAAAAGATAATGCATTTAAGAAAATCTATAACCAGATAAGGAGTATTTATGTTAGGCTGTAAGAGAAAAATATTTGAAGTAAATCAGAGAGGACCGAGCCTAATTATTTATCTTTTCCCTTATTTTTTCCCACAAACAATGTAGATTACTTCTGTAATCCAAATTGATAAACTCAATTCATCAAGTCTTTTAAATGGCTTAAATAATAAAAAAGAAAGAAAAGGGCCACACACACACAAAAGGAGCCCAGGTGTGGGAGGCTGCAGCAACCCAGGTCCTCTGCACGCACAGGGAGCAACGGGGAAGTCTGTGGCAACTCCGCCTCATTGCCTGTGTGCCCCCACACCCTCTGCTCCCCAGCTCCCTCTTCTCACTGTTGCCCTCTCACCTGCCCCTTCTCCCAGAAAATGATGAAGGACAACAACCTGGTACGCCACCTGGACGCCTGTGAGACCATGGGCAATGCCACAGCCATCTGCTCAGACAAGACGGGCACACTGACCACCAATCGCATGACGGTGGTGCAAGCCTACGTCGGCGACGTCCACTACAAGGAGATCCCCGAGCCCAGTTCCATCAATGCCAAGACCATGGAGCTGCTGGTCAATGCCATCGCCATCAACAGCGCCTACACCACCAAGATTCTGGTGAGTGGGTACCAGGCATGTTCTCCACTAGAGGGAGCAACATCCAGGGGATGACACAGAAGTGCTGGGCAGGTGCAGGGATGCGATTCCTATTTCAAATCCTGTTGAAATATGTTGGTATGGTTAGATAATAAGCCATCCATTCCCCTTTGACTCAGTATTCTATTAACATTGTTATGATGTTTGTGCAAACAAAACAAAAAGATTGTTAGCTGTGTTTTTGAAGACTTGTCATTGACCCTTCCTTACACACACACACACAAATATTTTATTCATTAGCTTTTGCTACATAAGAAACTACTCTAAAACTCAGTGGCTCAAAACAGAAATGTGTATTTAGCTCAAAATTCCGTGGGTGAGCAGTTCAGGCTGAGCTCCACAGGGTGGTTCTTCTCATCTGAGATGCCTGATGCATCTGCAGTGGTTCAAGTGGACAGCTCTGCTGATCTTGGCAGGACTGTAGGCTGATCTAGCATAGCCTCAGCTGGGCTGGTTCAACCCTGCTCTGTGTGATCTCACCTCCTCTAGCAAGTTAGTGTGGGCTTGTTCGCATGGTAACAACAGAGTTCCAAGAGTATAGAGATATGCGAGGTCTCTTGAGGCCTTGGCTCTGAACTGGTGTGTTGCTGCTTTCTGTTGACCAGCAAAAACTGGGAAGCTAGCCCAGATTCACACCATGGGATAAACGACTGTGCCCTTTGCTGAGAGGTAATGCAAAGGACTTGGAGTCAGGAAGGGGAATACCTGTGGCCTTTTTCACAATCGATTGCTGATGACGTTGTTGTTAGTAATAGTAGTAATCTTCCTCATTTTGATAAGTTCTCACCCGCTGTCTCTGCTAAGCAGCCTAGACTCATCATGCTGTAATCTCATTTGGGGTTAGAAGCACAGGTTGCCTCTTTGTAATTAACCAGCATTCAGATGAAGAGAAACCCAGAGTTCATCCATCCAGATGTCCGCCAGCTCCCAGATGTAGGGCATTTCTGCCTTGTGAGCATCTGGGTGATCCACTGAGCTTTATTGTTTATCCTCCAAATGTGCCAAGCCCTGACCTCCTGCTTCTGTCCCAGCGCCAGCTGCAGCCGTTGTGATCAGGTTGGGTTTGTGGAAGCTGCCAGCAGCTTTATCAAAACAGGGAAAAGAGCATGAGTCAGCAGCGGAGGGCTATGGGCTGGTGGGGGGAGGAGGCGGCTCCTGCACCCTCTGCTGCAGCAGGGCAGCCACCGCATCACCCTGGAGCAGCAGGCCCAGGGAGGCAGCACTGACAAAGCAGAAAAGTAGGTCGGAGAATGTGTGCAGACGGTGGTAGAGAACCCTGGGGGTGATTCCAGAAATGACAACGTTTTTGCCTTCTTTCCCCACCCCCACCCTGACTTGGGAATCAAGGGAAATCAAAGATGCACTATTCTCTTCCCCAGGCCTTCCTAAAATAACTGAGATGCTGTTAATGATCTCGTCCTGCAGGCCTGGCAGAGAGGGGAACAGGGCAATTCCCAGAGGAGGCTTCAGGCGATGGGGGCGGCCATGTGGGCACAGCCTTGTCGGGTGGGCTTGGATTAAGATGTATGTTATTTGATTATAGTCAAGAGAAGTTCTTGGAATCTGCCCAGAGGGCTGCAGGGCTGCAGTGATAAGTCTTGATTAAGCAGTGCTTGGCAGCACTGGCGACATAGTTAAAACCTCATTTCCAGATGTAGGTGGATTGACCCTGTGTCCAGGTGGCATAAAGGACAAGGATCAATCAGCCCATCTGTTGAGGCTAGAGAGAGGCAAGGGCCCAGCAAACTGGGGTCCTTGTTGTATGACCCAGGCCAAGTCACTTACCTCTCGGGCACCATAGTCGCCTTCTGTGCCTTGCACCTTGGCATCCTTCAATACCTCTGCCTGTCTTTCTGAGCCTTTCCTGAACATACCCTGGCCACCTGGTCCCCTTTGCTGGAGGCTGACAGCCATCGTGTGGGTGGGACGGCAAAGCCCCTGTATGACTAGGTAGTGGTTGAGACTCAGGAACCAGATGCCCTGGGTTCAAATTCCTGACCGGCCATGTGACTATAAACAAATTACTTAACCTCTCAGTGCAATACAGGGTCGTTGTGAGGGCACAGTGAGTTAGTAAATGGAGATTGCTTAGCACAATGCCCGGCACTGACTCAGCACTCATATGATGACTGTTATTTGGCAATAAAATTGCCCCGTGAAAGGAGATTCCAAGCAGAGACGTTTGGGCTAGACAGGGAACTGGTGCTGCCCAGTTTCACCACACAGATAAGCAGCGCCAAAGCCAATCTGTGAATACCCTACAGCTCTATCTGTTGAGTCAGAGTGACCAGACCAGCTTCCTGGGCATCAAAACCAATCCTGCAGCACCTTCAGCTGGTCTTGAGAAGGAAGGCCTGGGTACCGAGGGTCAGAGTCACAGCCAGGGCCTGCCAGCCATGTGGGAAAAGGGGCCCTCGGGGGCTGTCCCTTTCTAGAAGAGGCTGTGGCTGCTCCACTCAGGATAGAAGTCCAGCCACCCTCCAGACCAGGCTGGGAAGGCTAGATGCAGAAGGTGGTGAAACCATCCATGCAGGAGGTAATAGGGCAGGAAAGGCATGCTGTGTCACCAGCTTCACTATCCATCAGCTTTAATAGAGACACGGGCCTGGCCTGGGAAAATAGGCCCCTAGGCAGGGTGGGGTTCCCACATACTGTATCTCCCCTCCACCATGGGGACACCAGCGCCTCTGTGTCTTCTCATTGTCAGGTGCAGGCTGTGGACTCTTTAAGAGCTGGAGACACAGCTGAGTCTTCCCTCCTCCCCCTGGCATGGGTTGAGTGGATGGGAGGCTAAGGGAATTTATTAGCAAATGAGAGTATAGATGTGTACTCAATGAAATGAGGGTAGATAGGAAAGAGGAAGGGAAGGAGGGACGGCGAAGGGTAGAGAGAGGTGGGCAGAGAGAGGGACGTGTGGGTGGATAGAGGGATGTGTGGGTGGATGGGTGGGTGAATAGAAGATGATTGGAGAGAGAGGGATAGGTGAGTGGATAGAGGGATGTGTGGGTGGATAGAGGGAGGGGTGGGTGGATAGAGGGATGTGTGGGTGGATAGAGGGAGGGGTGGGTGGATAGAGGGATGTGTGGGTGGATGGAAG